TTTTCCCTATGCCAGTATACACACAGAAATGGCGCGCATTTATAATTAGGAGAGCGCCCTAGCATGTAGGGTACAAAACACCTACTTTATGCCCTCGCGTCCTACCCCTTGCCTCCCCTGTCCCTCGCTCAGCCTACTTCTTCTTCTACCGCCCCCAGCTATTTTCACTGTCGCATTTCCTCAGTCTCCTATCCCCTCCCCCCCGCAGTAAGCTATGTTATGAAGTTTTCCTCAGACAGCACTGCACGCCTATAACACTGTGCGCGCGCATGCGCTATATCTGCAAATAAAAATGCTATACTGTTAATATTATGCATTAAAAATGAAGAGGAGTTATCCTAGCATAGATTTATATGATAACATTCCTTCAGTAGACAGCATTCAAGAAATCGGAGGAAGACCTTGCATGTAAGGTCACCGCTGCGTATACCAGCCAGTACACAATATGGCTATATTAGTGTGTTAGCGCATGCGCAATATCTCACCAGAGGAGTTATATTTTGTTATGAATATGCATTTAAAATGGTTACGGGGTATCTCAGCATAAATTTCCCTAATAAACTTTTATCAGTAGACCAGTGTTTATAATTAGGAGAGCGCCTTAGCAGGTAGGGTACAAAACCCCTACTTTATGCCCTCGCGTTTTACCCCTTGCCTCCCCTGTCCCTCGCTCAGCCTCCTTCTTCTTCTACCGCCCCAGCTATCTTCACTGTCGCATTTTCTCAGTCTTCCATTTCCTCTCCCCGCAGCAAGCTATATTATAAAGTTTTCTTCAGACGGCACTGCACGCCTAACACGGTGCGCGCGCATGCGCAATATCTTCCGAGAGAAATCGTATTTTGCAAAGATTATGTATTTCAAATGAAGAGGAGTTATCCTAGCATAGATTTATATAATAACTTTCTATCAGTAGACTGCATTTAAGAAATAGGAGGAAGACCTTGCATAGGGTGTCACCGTTGCGTATACCAGCCAGTACACAATATAGCTACGTTAGTGTGTTAGCGCATGCGCAATATCTAACCAGAGGAGTTAAATTTTGTGATGAATATGCATTTAAAATAGTTGGGGGGGTATCTCAGCACAGATTTCCTTAATAAACTTTTATCAGTAGACCTGTGTTTATCATTAGGAGAGCGCCCTAGCATGTATAGGGTACAAAACACCTACTTTATGCCGTCGCGTCCTACCCCTTGCCTCCCATGTCCTTCGCTCAGCCTAATTCTTCTTCTACCGCCCCCAGCTATCTTCACTGTCGCATTTCCTCAGTCTCTCATCCCCTTTCCCCGCAGCAAGCTATATTATAAAGTTTTCTTCAGACGGCACTGCACGCCTAACACGATGCGCAATATCTCCCGAAAGAAATCGTATTTTGCAAAGATTATGCATTTAAAATGAAGAGGAGATATCCTAGCACAGATTTATATGATAACATTCCATTAGTAGGCAGCGTTTAAGAAATAGGAGAAAGACCTTGCATTTAGAGTCACCACTGCGTATACCAGCCAGTACACAATCTGGCTACGTTAGTGTGTTAGCGCATGCGCAATATCTTACCAGAGGAATTATATTTTGTGATGAATATGCATTTAAAATGGTTAGGGGGTGTCTCCGCATAGATTTCCCTAATAAACCTTTTTTCAGTAGACCTGTGTTTATAATTAGGAGACAGCCCTAGCATGTAGGGTACAAAACACCTACTTTATGCCCTCACGTCCTACC